GGAATGCCTGTTGGGTCTTGGCAGGGGTTGCAGAGATTCCCAAAGTCCACAGAGCTTTTGCTGTGCAGCTGTTTCCTTCTCTTACTCACTTGATTCCTCTGTCCAAGTACCTCGTAGCTCAGTGAGCAGCAGAAGTTGAGAGAAACATGGTTTTCAAAGGCTTTGTGTGGGAGTTTTTCTTTGATGTGCAATAAAAGTCCACCTGCTGTCATTCTTTATGGTAGCAGTTTCAGACCAGTTGAGTCTTTGTCCTCCACTTTGCCACCTGCATTCCTAGAACTTGTAGGAACTTTTATCTTTTTATATCACAAATTAATTTGAAAGAGTTGGCTGATAATTTCTGAGGTGGAGGGAAGGGAATGCAACCTTGTTTGCTTTGTGATTTTAGGGAAACCACTTGGAAAAATCATGTTTCTCTGAGCCTGGTCCCAGCTCTAATGCAGAGCTGTAACCAGTGTCCTCTAAGGAAGAGCTAAGCTGCTTTTCTTCTCCCTCTCTAGTCATGCCTCCCTCATCCCATCCCTTCTTTCAGGATGTTCCATGCTTCTTTCAGAGCTGGTTTTTCCCAGGACTGTTGAACAGAGACAGCAACAGTGGAAGAAGGGACTGCAGGACCCTCAACCTGGCTTTGCTTTCTCTTTCCAGCTCCCACAACTGGAACACCTTGTTTGTGGGGACCAACGCCGTGGCTGATGCCATTGCTCAGAAGTACAATGCTTCCAAAAGCCAAGTGCTGGATCATGTGAGTTGGGTTATTGGTCAGCTGGGATGGGAGATCATTTTCCTACCTCTTTCCAGGGATTTACCTGGTCTTTTTGTGCAGCAAAGCCTCTGTGCATCCACAAACACCACACGGGGTGAGTGATGTTGGAGGCTCTCAGGGGGATCTGAGCCAAACAATCCCTTGGTCGCTGGAAGACAAAGTCATGCTCCCAGCTCCCCTGCCCACTCTGCTTTTCTGTGACAGAATTTTGCATTTCTACCTAACCACTTGTTGGGAAATCACACCCTAAAGCTCAGCTGGCAACTTATTTTTCCCTTGGGAAGATTTTCTTGACTCCCAACAGCAGAACTCCCAGCAGCTGCAGAGGAGCTGGAGCATTTTCCCTCCAAGCTGGCTGCCAAATTCACTTCACATCTGCTTATGAGAGCAGTAGGAACAACAGCTGCCCAGCACCTTCCTGGATGAGGTTCTTTGCTTTCCTGTGTTGAGCTTTGTCACATTGTCACCTGATGTTCTTGCCTGCAGGAGGGTAAGGACAGTGTGGCAGTGAGGGTTGCCCTGGGAGAGACCGAGTTGGTCCAGGAGATCCGCCGGTTCCTCGTGGAGAACGGAGTCAGCCTGGATTCCTTCAGCCAGGTGAGATGCCCAGCTTGAAGGCAGCAATGTGGGGACCTCCCCTCTTGGATCCTGGCCTAGTCCTAGTGTACTCAGCTCTCCTTGAAATGAGGAATTAAGTCCTCAGCATCTTGCTTGGTTGAAGCATGATGGGCTCAGGAAACATTTGGTCTGTTTGAAAAGGCAGCTGCCCTCAGGATGGCTGGAATATCTGGTGGGACAGTGTGGAAGGGGGTTGGTCAGCCTGCTATAGGCAGAGGAATCCTGTGTCCATACCAGGGTAGGTCTGGAGCTGAAACCTTCAGATATAAGATCCTGGGGAGACCTTATAGTGGCCTTCCATACCTAAAGGGAGCCTACAGGAAAGATGGGGAGGGACTTTGCACCAGAGAAGGTAGTGATAGGATATGGGGGAATGGTTTTAAAGTGAGAGAGGGGAGGTTTACATGTTGGGAAGAAATTCTTCACTAGGAGGGTAGGAAGGCAGTGGAACAGTCCTACAGTCCCACAGAGGCTGTCCACCCCTGGAGGTGTTCAAGGCCAGGTTGGGTGGGGCTTGGAGCAACCTGATCTGGTGGCAGGTGTCCCTGCTCATAGCAGGAAGGTTGGAACCTGATGATCATGAAGGTCCCAACCTTAACCACTCTGCAGGAGTGTTGGTGGAACAAGGAGGTGGTGCTGGGGTGTGGATCTTCCAGGGAGTGTTTTCTAAGTGGCTGTTGACCCTCTTGGATTCTGGAAAGGGGTGACATGGAGTGAACAGGCACGACCTGTTGAATCTGAAATCTTCATGAGTGAGATCCTGGGGTTTGCTTTTTCCCATCCAGTCTCCCCTTTCTTCTCCCACCAAACCTGGCAGGCTGCTGGTGAGCGGAGCAAGACAGTGATCCTGGTGAAGAACCTCCCTGCCAGCACGAGTGTGGAGGAGCTGGAGGACATCTTTGGGAAGCATGGCAGTCTGGGCCGGGTGCTGCTGCCCCAAGGAGGCATCACAGCCATCGTGGAGTTCCTGGAGCCAACAGAGGCCAAGCAGGCCTTCACCAGGCTGGCCTACTCCAAGGTGAGGAGCAGGCATCGTGGGGAGCATGGATCTTGGCTAGTTGTGGAGCTGCAGACAGCAGTGCTTGTCACAGCTGGGAGATGCAGAGGCTTTTGGGGGGAGGGAGTTAGCCCACAGCTGGTGTTTCTGTCTGTCTGATGGGTTGAAGGAGATGCCTGGTGCATCCTTGTGCAGTTGTGGCTGAGTAGGGCTCCTAGCCTGCAGCAGGGGACTGTGGCACATCTAGAAAAGCCTTGGTGGCCAGGAGAGGGTTTCTTTTACCTTTCACAAGACAAGAGTGTGGTATGTGGGAAACTGGTCCTGTGGGAGGCTGGATGCAGACTGTCCTCTGGTGAGAATTTAGCCACCTGCAAAAGTTCCTCAGCTTTTCCAGTGTTTTCCATTACCAAGTCAGGGGCCAATAAAGCTGAGAGCAGAGCTTTTTCTTCAGGCCCTTCCCCTCCACTCTTCATGTCTCTCCTGTGTTCTCTTCACAGTTTCATTCAGTGCCTTTGTACCTGGAATGGGCTCCAATGGGTGTCTTCTTGAGCCCAGCCCCTCAGAAAAAATCCTCTGAGGATTCAGAAAAGGAAGACAGAGCAAGACCAGTACCTGGTAAGAGCTTGGACTTTAGACCAGAGCAGTAGAAATGACTAAGCCATTTGAGAAGTTGGGAAGAGAGGGAAATGGATGGATGGAGAGTATCAAAATGCAGTTGCCACAGCAACTTCCCTGATAAGACCAGCTGCAAATACCAGCAGATTTTCTGTCCAGCAGAACACTGGCCATCCAGGTTTCTGTTCCCTTCCCAGCTGTGGACAGCTCCCAGCTCCACTGTGGAACCTGTGCTGACTGCTGAATGGTGTCTTAATGTCTTGGTTTTCTATTTCCAGCTCTGTCTTTGCTGAATCCCAAAGCAAGATTTGTACATGATGCACAGTTGACTTCTTTCTGTTTCAGGTGGTGACACTGACACAGCTATGAAGGACTCAGAGGAAACAGCAGCACAGGAAGAAGAGGAGGAAGAAGAAGAAGAGGAGGAAGAAGAAAGCATTCCTGGCTGTACCTTATTCATCAAAAACCTGAACTTTGCCACCACAGAAGACACACTGAGGGAGGTGAGCCACAAGTGAGGAGGAGGGACTGAGTTTTGCTTAGCATGGTCTGCTCAGATGGAGTGGGAGGGGGTTGAGTGTGTGGTTGAGGACCAAAATGGGATGCCTGGTAGAGTAGAGCCCCCAGTCCCAGCATGGACTAGGAGAAAGGGCTCTGCTGCAGAAGGGACAAGCTGTTCTGCATCTCTGTTGTGCTGAGGATATAAAGGAGGTAAATTGCAGGCAGTGCTGGGAGATGCAAAAGCACTGGGTTGTACTAGGACTAGGAAGCTCTGTTTTGGAGTTTCAGGCATCAATTAAGACAAATGGATCTGAAACACTTTTGATGGGGTTAAATTCCACCTCAGGACAGGTGGAGGCAGTAGGAAATCTTTTCAGACTCCTCATTTCCCATGTTTGCTAGAATGCTGGTCCCAAGGAGAAGCACTCGTGCAGTTCTGATCCTGCTTTGGGTGTTAAGGCAGGAAAGAAATGATGGTTTCACTGAGATGTGCTTTTCATCTCAGCTTCTACCAGCACTGAGCTGCCTCTGCTTCACCTCAGCAAAACCCTTGGGTGACATCCTAGCATTCCTAACACCACGTGGGATGTTAATAGCAAATCAGGGAAAAGCCAACTGGGAATCCTTGTCTCTCCCACTTTTTGTAGCCATGTGAAAAACCACATTTCATGGCCCAAAAATGTCAGTCATCCTGGGACCATGCTCCTCCACCTTGGGCCTGTGGTACTGGTAGACACCCTGGTCCACCTGGGTCTGGAGACAAATCTAAAGGGAGTTGTCCCTTCTTTTCCTGCCTTCTGGGTGCAGTTTTATGCAGGAGTGGCTTGTCCCTGTAGGGCAGCCCCTCCTGTTTGGAGGGTCTCATATTCAAGGGACATGACAGAAGTCATCTGCCACTAAGGTCCCCAGCTGGCTGTGAGGACACCTTGTGATCCACAGTGTTCCTCCAGAGCCATCCCAGATCCCTGCAGGTTCTGAGGAGTGGTGGAGGATTTTTGGGAGGCACGTGTGTATTGATTTCTTTAAAAGTCTGTGTGGGTGTCTTGTTTGTCAAGGAGTAATTGTATAAGGCAGAGCTGCAATTCCTGCCTGTCAGGTGTGTGCTGGGGGGAGGTGGGCCTGGGAGAGTGTTCTCCTGGCTCTGGAAAAGAGCCACATTGTCACAGTTCCAGCTCTCAGCCTGTGACAAAGGGGACTGAATCACGTGTCCAAATTCCTTGCAGACGTTCTCCAAAGTGGGAGCTGTGAAGAGCTGCACAATATCCAAGAAGAAAGACAAAGCAGGTACTTTAGATGCTGCTGTTCAATTCCTTCCCTTGGCTGGTTGCTGAGGGCTCAGGTGTGGTGTTGCTGCAGCATTCATCTGGCTGAGCATTTCTGTTCTCCTTGGCATGAAATCCTTCATGTTTCTAGAAGTGTGCCTGTTGAAATGGCTGCAAGCAGCAACCAAAAAATACCTGGGGTTTCAGTCAAGAAGGTTAAGCTCACTTGTGGGATTTGTGGAGATGTATGGCCCTCTCTTCAGATCTGGATAGAGAAGCCAGCTCCTTCAGGATCACCAAAGAGAGCAGGATGCAAGTTGAAAGGAACCTAGTGCCCTGCAATGATTAAACCTGCCCACAAGGTATTTTATCTGGCATCCTCAAGGATGCCTGGATGAATGCTGTGCTGAGTTTGCATTCTGCCTGCCAGATTGGAGCCCAGCAGGCTGTGGGGAGGAGTGGCTGGGCCTGTCACATCAGCTGTGTTCTCTCTCCAGGTGGTTGGGTAGAGTTTGCTGCAGGCAAGGGTTGGCTTGGATGGGCTGTGTCTTCATTCTGGATTTTGGGGTAGGGTGTTGCACAGTTTTAGGGGGGTTCACCTTAACAGGGCTCTTTCTGCATGGGGTGCTTGAAAACTGGGATTCACTGAAAGGAAAGCCAACCCTTGAGTTGTGCTGGGCTGCAGGCATAGTCACTGCATGGTTTGGGTTGGAAGGGACCTTAAAAGTCATCTAAATCCAACCCCCCTGTATGGGCAGGGACACCTCCCACCAGCCCAAGTTGCTCCAAGCTGCATCCAACCTGCCCCTTGAACACTTCTAGGGATGGGGCAGCCACGTAAGCAGGCAACAACATCTGAGCCAAAGCTGATCTCTCACCACTCACCAAAGTGATACCCTTGTCCCTGTGGGGGGATCTCTGTGTCTACCACGGAGGTTTTGAAGGTGGAAACTGGATACACTTGATGGTGTTAAACTGAAAGAGGGTAGACTTAGACTGAACATTAGGGAGAAATTCTTGACAATGAGAGTGGTGAGAGCCTGGCCCAGGTTGCCCAGGGAAGCTGTGGCTGCCCCATCCCTGGCAGTGTTGAAGGGCAGGTTGGATGGGACTTGGAGCAACCTGGGCTGGTGGAGGTGTCCCTGCCCACACAGGGGGGTTGGATCAATATTATATTTAAGGTCCCTTCCAACCCAAACCAGTCCATGATTCTATGAAATAACAGAAAATCTTAAATGACGAAGGAATAAGCTAAGGCATTTGTTAACATACCCACAAACAGATGACAGAGCATACCTGTAGCTTGATTATTTCAAACAAAGAGTTTGTTGCCACACAAGAAAAATGTGTTCCAGCTTTGACTCAACTGGCTTTAATTACCACTTTCTCATAACCAAGACTACATGGGACTTCATTCTCAGAAGTGGGCTGATCCTACAGCAAGCATGGGATGGTACAACCCTGGACGGGGAGACTGTGCAGAGCATGGCTTCAAAGAAGCCCATGGAAGTCTGGAGGTGGACTCCAACAGGCTCCAGAGCAGGCTGCAAAATGAGAGTGGTGAGAGCCTGGCCCAGGTTGCCCAGGGAAGCTGTGGCTGCCCCATCCCTGGCAGTGTTGAAGGGCAGGTTGGATGGGACTTGGAGCAACCTGGGCTGGTGGGAGGTGTCCCTGCCCATGCAGGGGAGTTGGGACTGGATGGTCTTTAAGGTCCCTTCCAACCCAAACCAGTGTGGGATTCTACATATTGGTATCCAGCAACAAAAGTCACACCTGTTCCTGGGAAGTTGACAGATAGTCCTAATGAAGGTCTCATGTCGTGTAGAAATAATCCTGTGTAAATCCTTGTGTGTCCATGATGCGTCACTCACCCTGACTGTGACATGGGGTTGTTCTGTAGGACTTGGTGTTTCATTTCAGGAGGTTGCACTGAAATGATGCAAAGCAAGAAGATCTCTTTTCCATGCAGTTTGGCTCAGCTCCTCTTCCACCTCAGCACCAAACCAGGCTGTTCTAGATCAGCACCTTGCTCAGAGGGAGGCAGGGAGGGGTGCAGATGGGGTGGGACACAGCCCGGGCAGGGACAGGCTGGTCCCTTGCATTAGGTGTTGTCATCCCCCAGTGTTGGCAGCTTGCTTCTGATGTGGTTTTAAATCTTCTGCTTAATACCATCACTATTTCCTGCTGGCTTAATGAGTCCTCTTTCTCCTCTGACAGGCAACTTGCTCTCCATGGGCTTTGGGTTTGTGGAGTACAAGAAGCCAGAGGCTGCCCAGAAAGCCCTGCGCCGGCTCCAGGTGAGTTAAGTGTCATTGATCCAGGTTTCTTTCCAGAGATGGTGGGCAAAGGCTTGGATGAACTGGGAGGTGCAAAAAAAAGGGATGTCAGAGCTACAGTGTGCAGGTGGAGAAGACTCAAGTGGGCCAGGTTTGTGAGGAAAGAGGGTGTGTAGAGGGGTGAGCCCAGTGCTCCCAGTGCTGATCCGATACGGAGCTGACAGATAATGTGCAGTGATTGACATGTGATGAGTTTCTCCTGCAAGGTTCCCTCTGCAGAGGTGATGGAGACCCCTACTCACAATGGGAATAAATACTGCTCAGTGTGTAGTGCTGCACAGCTCAGCTCTGCCCTCTGTGATTGTTGTTACTTCAGGGGCTTCTAGCCTCCTGTTTGCCATGTGCCACAGGGTTGAGCTGACAGATAATGTGCAGTGATTGACATGTGATGAGTTTCTCCTGCAAGGTTCCCTCTGCAGAGGTGATGGAGACCCCTACTTACAATGGGAATAAATACTGCTCGGTGTGTAGTGCTGCACAGCTCAGCTCTGCCCTCTGTGATTGTTGTTACTTCAGGGGCTTCTAGCCTCCTGCTTGCCACGTGCCACAGGGTTTCATCACAAAATCCCAGAGTGGTTTGGGTTGGGAGGGACTTAAAAATCATCTAGATCTACCCCCCTTGCATGGGCAGGGACACCTCCCACCAGCCCAGGCTGCTCCAAGCCCCATCCAACCTGCTCTTCAACACTTCCTGGGATGGGGCAGCCACAGCTTCCCTGGGCAACCTGGGCCAGGCTCTCACCACCCTCACAACAAAGAATTTCCTCCTCATGTCTCACCTAAATCTTCCCTCCAGTTTTAATACATTCCCCCTTGTCCTTTCACTACAAGCCCTTGTTTGGCCATGCTCTGAAGGAATCAGCCCTTCCCTCTGCTGCTAGATGAGTGATCCCTCTCTAGGCAGATATGAAGCAGTTGCTCTGAATAATCTGTGCATGTTCAGTGACCACAATCCATGAGTCCCACATCACATTCCTGGGTGGCCCTGGAGTAGACGTGTGTTCTCCATCCTTTTGAAAGGCAGAATCCTGGGGAAGAGAAAGCAGGAAGAAAGGTATTTTGTGGAGGCAGTGGGCAGCAGGGCTCCAGGATCTCAGTGTGGTGCCTTTGCCCTGTCAGGGCTGATAAGGCAAGAGGCTGCTTGTTTGCAGTGCTGAGCTGCAGGAAATTCTTGGAGGCCCAGGAAGCAAGAGATAAAAGACTTCCTTGCTGTGTTGGCTGCTGATGGCCAATGAGACATCTCTGGCTCATTCCAGAACAAATAACAAACAAGATGGTCACTGCCTTGAGGAGTTTGCAGTATAGAAGGTGAGGTAACCACAGCTCAGGGCAACAAATGACCCATCTCTGCCAGTTGAGTGGCAGATCTGAGGCTGATGGACAACTAGATCAGGGATGTGGCTTTTGCTTCACTCAGTCAAGCTGTCTCCAACCTCATATCAGCAGCTTTGCCTTGCATGAGTGGTGTTCAACAGAGGAAAACTTGGACAGGAAGAAGAACATATGGAGAAGAGCAAGATGTGAAATGTGCTTGTGTCCTGGAAATGTGGAAGCTGTTGTGACTTGGATTTTGGCTGTTATTGGGTTTTTTTCTTTTCACTCCTAGGGCTGCTCTGTGGATGGCCATAAGCTAGAAGTGAAGATCTCAGAGAGAGCTGTCAGGTAAAGCTCACCTCTTTAACATGGTTGCATAGAAGCTGCAGAAATGCTTTGGTGGGTTCTTCATTTCTTACCTGGCACCCCTGCAGCATGAAGGATGTGAGCTGTTGTGCTGCTCTGTTGGACACATCAGCCCTTGTCGTGTCACTTGAGTCACTCTGACTTGAAAAGGGAAATGATGAATGGGTGATGTGAAGGTGGTTTGCTCACTGAATGGCATATTTCCAATTAAAATCCCTAAGCTTTTCAGTTAAAATGCAGTATGGAGTAGTGGGACCCCAAAAATGAGCCTGAAGTGAGAAACAGGCACTTGAGTTTTCCTCTACACTCAAGGACCAGACTCCTCTAAAAACCTCTGCTTTGCCAACAGTTTGGTCAACATTGCAAAATCAACTGTCAGCCCAAGTTCCAGTGGGTTTAAAGAGTTCTTGAAGACAAATATTCTCTGGGTAATTAAATCTTCTAGCCTAGTTCATCAGGGAGAACAGTAGCTAAATAATAATAAGCTGCTGCAAATCCTGATCAGATCAAGACAAAGGGTGGGTGTTTTTTTTCCTTGCTTGAAAAAATAGGGTTTAACAGCTTGGTTTGGGGTTGTCAGGTACAGAGATGGCTCCTTGTGGATGAATTTACTTGGAGTTAAGAGTCTTTTTAAGGGTTTCCTTCCTGATTTTTATTCAGTTCAGAATCTGAAATGCCAAGTTAAAAAAATGAATCCAGGTGTTTGTAGGTGAATGTTGGCACCTAAAAACTGTCCATTAGACCCTTTGGAATCCCTGCTGGAGGAGGTACCTCTGAAATGTCAACATGTGTTTGAAAATCTGATCCCTGGGGACCAGAAGCAGTCTTGACAGCTCCCTGCCTGCACTTTCTACTTCTTGAATAAACCATTTCCATCCATTTTCATTTAAAAAATAGCTTCAGCAGGTATCCAGCCTGCAATCCAGATTGCTTTTTGCTTTATGAAATAAGCTGCTGTGTTTTGTAGTGGGTAAATTCTTACCTTGTCCAAAAGCAGTACCATTCTGAAGAAGAAAACATTCAAATTAGTCACCTGTTTTACAGTGTCCTTTGCTGTTTGCTGAGCTAGTAAGAAAAGTGATCAAAATGAGCTTACATGAAGTTGTTTGATTTGAATATATCAAATGATATGTTCTCCTGACAAGGAGATGTGATGGCAGAACAAAAGGGAGTGGCAATCAGCAAGCTGGAAACTTGGGTTCTTCAGGTGCAGGATTTAAATCACTTACATTCATTCCTTTTTGGCATCCTGAATGACATTCCCATTGTTGCCAGATGCCAGTGAGGATGTTGATGTGATGAGCTGGCGGTTTGGTTTCTGCATTCCTGCTTTGGAAGGTGTCAGGGATGTGTTGAGGGTTTTGCTGCAGCCTGATCCTCACCTGCCCTTTCTCTTGACTTCCCAGGCCTGCTGTGAAATCATCCCGAAAGAAACAAACTGTCAAGAAGCAGAAGACTTCCAAGATCTTGGTCAGAAACATCCCATTCCAGGCCACCCTCAGGGAAATCAGGGAACTCTTCAGGTAGGAAAGCGCTTCCCGTCGGGTCTGCGGGATGTTCTGGAGCTGGGATGATTTCCAGAGGGCATCTTGATAGTAGGTTGTGACAGAAACAAACTGTCAAGAAGCAGAAGACTTCCAAGATCTTGGTCAGAAACATCCCATTCCAGGCCACCCTCAGGGAAATCAGGGAACTCTTCAGGTAGGAAAGCGCTTCCCGTCGGGTCTGCGGGATGTTCTGGAGCTGGGATGATTTCCAGAGGGCATCTTGATAGTAGGTTGTAAATGTGAGTTTTGGTTTCTTTCTGGAAGTCAACGAGCCTTTTACTGGAAGTAAATGGTTGGTCAGGTTGTGCCTGTGTAGAAATTCTGCTGGTGAGATAGAACAATAACCCAGGATTTTTGGAGCCCTGGTGACCCATCACCTCACAGAGCTTTGAGACCTCCCCTCCTGTGGAGGAGATGAGACACCCTGGAGGAGAGGAGACACCCTCAGGTGGTGGTCTCCTCCTGCCTGAAGGGTGTGCAGCAGCTCTCCTGATGCTCAGCACACCTGAGTCACTGCAGACAGCTGGAGGGGGACAGGTTGTAGCTGGGGCTGGCTCCCTGCTCCCGCTGTGCTCCTTGCTCCAGCTGTGCTCCCTGGATGATGGTGCAGCTCCTTCCCTTCCTGGAAGGAGCACTTCCATCTTCCTGCCCCTTCCACAGGCATTTCACCTGGTTGAAATGCCCACCAGGGGTTGGCAGCCCCCCTGGCTGGGAGGGTGTAGGACTCTACTGCCCGTGATACCCTCTCCAGCAGGGAATGCCTTGTCAGCCCTGAGTCCTGCCTGGAATGGTGCTGAGTGCTGAAGTGGGATTTTGGGATCCCAGCCTGTGGGCAGCAGCTCATCTCTTTGTATCCTCAGCCTTCTGTGCAGGGACTCCCTAAGCCTTGCATCCCAGAAAAGAGGGGAAACTCTGTAAAATACAGCATATGGCATCTTTTCTGCTCCTGGGATGAGGAGCTCTTGCTTGTTGACCCAGGCCATGGTCCCTGCTCTGCTGCTGAGTTGCAGATGGAATTTGAGTCAATTGGTGTCCAGCTCTGCCCATCAGTTTTTACCAGCTGCAAAATAAGGGTGATAGCTCATGTCTGCAGGGCCTGGTGAGGCACTGTGTTAGGAGGTGGCTTTTCTGCACAGGTCCTTCTAAGGTTTCATCTGGCCAGGGCTGTGGTGGCTCTTGCCAAAGTGACCGAGTTGAGGAATCACTTCATGCTTTGAATCCTCTCCAGACCACACAATGGAAACTGCCTTGTGAGGAGCCATAGGGGCAGTGAGGTTCTTCTTTCCTTTCATGCAGGGTAAAGACTCATTTCCCTATACATGGTGAGTTCTACCTACTTCATTAGCATGTGATGTCTTTCTGGCTTGACCACAGGCAAGGACAGTGGCTCCCACGTGGCTGCTTCCTTGTCAGGTGGTGAGGAAAAAGCTGAATGTTGGGACAATGGTTTGGGGTGAGCTCTGGGGATTTAACTGGAGACAAACCATGGCTTGACTCTCAAATGTATCTTGCTGGAAGGGTGACAGGAGGCACGATGTGAAGATCCCTGTAGAGGAACAAAAGGCTTTTATTGGGCTGTGTAGCTGAGATGCTTTTTCTTCAACACTGCCCTGAGAGGCTCTGCTGAAGCAGGACAGGAAACCTGGACTCCCAAGTGATCCTGCTGAGTTTGTGTAGCCTGTGGGGCACTGGTGGTTTCACAGCCAGCCCTGTGTGGCTACAGAGGTGACAGAATCCCAGAATGGTGGGGGCTGGAAGGGGCCTCGAGATAGCCAGTCCAACCCCTCTGCTAAAGCAGGATCCCTTAGAGCAGATCCCACAGGAACACGTCCAGGTGAGTTTGGAATGTGTTCAGAGATGGAGACTCCAACCTCCCTGGGCAGCCTGTCCCAGGGCTCTGGTACCCTCAGAGTCAAGAATTATTCTCCTGTATTCAACCTGTGTACCAGTTGGTGACCGTTGTCCTGTCACTGGACACCACTGAGACCTTTGTAAAGCTGGAGCAAACAGACTCAGGGGCATCTGTTTGTTTTCTGGGGCCCTAGGTTAAGTTCAAGGAGCTGGGAGGCTTGTGTGTGTGTATATATGTATATTGTGAGGGCAGACAAGGCCAGCAGAGACTGGGAGGCTTTGGGCATGTTTTTTTCCTCTTGTCTGGCACCTCAGTGCTACACAGAGGAGGGCTGGAGGAGCAGGCTGATGAATATTGCAGGGAACATGCAGCTTCTAGCCCTGTGCTGTTGACAGTGTGCTCAGAGTGATGTGTGAACATCCATTTCATTGACCTGGGATGTGGGGATTTTATCCTCAAAACAAAAGCCAGGAGGAACCTGGGAGGGGGGTGAAGGGGGACCCCCACAAATCTTCCCTCCACCCCTGCCATCCCTCCTTCCCTTCAGGGTGGCTAAAAGCAGGCAAGGCAGAGCCCTGCTGAATACTTCATCCTCCTAGATTGCTTTTGGGTGGTTTTAAATCAGCTGCTTTTGCTCTGGAGCCTTTAGCTCGTGCTGCATTTTAGGAACCTGTCTTGGTTTGTATTTCCTTAGTTATTTATTGGAAATTGCCAAGCATTCCTGGGCAGTGGAGGGGCTGGTGTGGCTGCAGGGGGCACTCTTAGCCTGCCCAGGAAGAGCTGGCTGGGGACAGCAAGGGACAGCCAGCCTGGGCACAGCACAGGACCCCCAGGCCACCCCACAGGGCATGGCCTGCAGAGGTTGGGGGGGTTTTGCAGGGCAGGCAGCTTCTCCATTGTTTCACAGGCTCAAAAGCAACTTCCCAGCCCTGCTGCTGATGGTGTCTCCCAACCTGCTTCCTTCTGCAAGTGCCTTTTTTCTCTTCACAATTGTTTGGGCAGGAGAAAAAATAACAAATGGGTATACAGACATTACATATATATATATATATATATATGCACATTTATTTTACATATACTGTGTGCTTGTATATTTATTTTTGCTTGTATATTTATTTATATATAGTATTACCCTGGACAAACATATGTGTAACCCCAAGGAAATATTCCCATGTTTCAGCTCTGTCAAGGAGCTGTGTCTTCCTTCTTAAATGGACCCATGGTAGGTGTTAATGACACTGGAACAGCAAAAGTGAAGTTGGGTGTTTTGAAACATGAATTTTGAAAGCTGCTGTGGGGTGCTGCTCAGCACTAGCAGTTCAAGGAATCCTGGTTGTCTTGATGCTTTTCAAGATCATGGTTTATGGATCCAGCACTGAAGTGCTTCTCCTTGCCCTGCACCCTGGATCCCTGGGAGGAAGGAGACCAGCCAGTCCCTTGGGAAAGGACTATGAGTGGGTGTCAAATTCAAATTGTTTTTTCCCCAAAGCTCCTAATTTCCAGGAGATTCAAAGCAAATGTGTTGAATTTTGGACTTGGAGGATAGCAAGTTCTAATTCTTGAGCTGGAGGATGTTGCTGCCTCCTTTTTTCTGCCCAGGAGTCAGAAATGCTGTGGTGAACAGGTAGAGTCTTCTGCCTGCAAAAGAAATGCCTTGTTGCATGGCTCCATGAGGTGCTGCTCACCTCCCACACCACACCTGGTGGCTGTTCTGGGCTGTGCTGGTTCAGAATGTGTCTTGCCATCTTCTGCTGGAGGTGTCAGCCTCTCTCACACTGTCAGGAGATAGATATAGATATATATATATTAATTTTTTTGAGACCCAATAGGTGTTATTTTCTTCAGAGGGAGAAATGCTTTTCAATTATAGGGGCTGGTTTTGGGCTAGGTGTGAAGATTTAGCTTTTGTGGGTGTGTTTTCCCCCTTCCCTCCCCTCCCTATTTTTGTTCTTTGTTAGATTCTCCTCTTCTCTTTACTACCTGGAAAAATAACAAAAGACAAATGGTCCTTAGTTCTTTCCAAAGTGGAATAGTTAAGGGAGGAGAGACAAAGGGATTGATATCCCGTGAAGGCTGCTAATTTTTGCTACCAAATTGGGGGGCTTTTATGGCAAGATTTATTTTTTTTTTTTCCCAAAAGACCTCTAGATGTGGCAAGCTGAATTGGAGATCTGTGAAAGGCCACATTTTCACAGATTGGAGCCCTGGCAATTTCTGAAAATGAGGCTCCTTGAAAGTCTATCCCATTAGATCCATGCAGCCCTCACTGGAAGTTCCAATTAACTATTTGTTTCATAGCATCTTCTTCCATCCTCCTTCCCCCTCTTTTCATGAATATTAACAAAATAAGGCTGTTTTGCAGTTGGCACAGAACACTTCATGGAGATGGAGGTTTTATTTTCCTCAAAAGGGGAACGATTAGATGGAGGGACAAAAAAGACTTGTTAAAGATTTCTACCCAGTCAAATGCAAGCTGAGGGGTGGATGCTGGAGAAAGTCTGCCCAGACTTTGACATTCCTGCTTTTTTTAGCAGTTAGTAGAGTTGCATCTCCAGCAGCATGTTCTGGGGCTGGTGTTGTTTGCTCTTCTCTTTGCAAAATCAATCTGGGAATGTCCTCTTGGGGTTTGCATCTGTATATTCTCCTAAAATTGAAATGACCATCACTCCCAGCCCTTCCTCTGCCAATTCATTGTGATAGACCCTCATTCTCAGGATTCAGAGTGAGATCAGATGTCAGCACTTGGAGTGTGGGAGATGCTTTCATGTCTGGCCCTTCACCTCTAAGAGCTGAATTGAGACACATTGTGTGGAGCTGTAAAATCATATTACTATCAGCTGAGAGACTGGACTTTAGTTTGACTTCAGAAGCAGCTTGCAGAGAAAAAAAAGCAACTGTGCCAGAGCACAGAACAGGTTATCAGGTGCATTTGTCTCCATATTCTGGCTTTGCTATAAAGAAAGTAATTCTGCTGCTTGAAAAGACCTTTGGGGGTGGGTGTCTCTTTTAATTTTGACTCCTTTGCTGACTGTTTTCTCCATCTTGACAAAGACATGGCATTTATTACATCTGGCAAAACAAGTGCCTGGGACTGATTAGGAGAAGACAAATTTATTCCCTCTGA